ATGGCCGTCTGGTTTGGGTGAGAATCTGTGGAGCGTCTGGATTTCTACAGACTCCATGCGGCCTGGTCATGGATACCCGTGTCATGCCAAAAGGATTGTGGGTGACGTGTGTGATCAGAGGGTTTGGTTGTGTGTTGTTGCTGCCCGCTGGGCTGCCAGAGTTCCGGGCTTTGGCTTCATCCCTGAGCCATCTGTGAGCAAACAAACAGACACACATCAGACGAGGACGAGTGTTTTATCACTGAGAATATTTGTAAAAATACAAACAAATGGCCACTTCCTGCGGCTGAAGCCTTCAGTCACTGCGACTACATGAATGAACATGATGGTAAATCTCTCCATGAGGACGTGAGGGACTGAAGTTAACTGATCCAGACTCAATCCAACATCAAATGAAGATAAAGACGATATTTGCTTGTTTTCTACATCCATATCAACAGCTAGATTTCCTCGAAAGTAAGTATTTAGCTGTTATGTTTTTGCAGATCTGTTATTGAGAAAATGCGGAGACAGTGACGAGCGCTCCAATAAAGCATATAGTGATACTGCCCACCCTCGATCACATGACACAGCCGTTCCTCCAATCTGATTGGCTGACGACTGATATAAGTATATAATGGAATGTTTCTCTGTATTCAGACAAACCGATGCACAGCCATTCAGCCTGATAATATTTTTGTTGGTTGAACAAAAACTGGACAAAATAACTAGTAATGTTGAGTGTAAGTTACTCTTGAACTTCACTGAATAAAAGCATCATCACACTCACAGTCGCTGTTGTTCTGAACGGCTGGTTTATGATGTTGACTGTGATTTGAAGCTCCTCTGTGGAGACTGAAGACACGTCTGATGTTCAGACTCACTGCGCTGCACTTCATCACACACACACACACTCTCTCTCATTCATGAGTTCTGCTGAAGGCGCTGTGTGTGTGAATGAGATGCTCCACGGCACCCTCTGCTGGCGGCTCGTGTGATCTCAGTGACATCAGGCTCATGATCTCACATGTTCCTCTGTGCATCAGCGTTTATCTAGTCACGCTGATGCGTGTAACGTGTCATTAATGAATCCGTTAATGATCGTCTGTCTGTTCCTCCTCAGATCTGAAGCGGGAGGCGAGTATCTGTCACATGCTCAAACATCCTCACATCGTGGAGCTGCTGGAGACCTACAGCTCCGATGGGATGCTCTACATGGTCTTTGAGTTGTAAGTGTGTGTAAGATCTCACAAATACAACATGAGCCATATATTTAATATCACAATGATGCTATTCAATGAAATTACAATTTAATGGAAAAAGTGCAAATAATCATGTGCTAATGCCTTTTTTTGTACAATCCAGTGGATAAAATCTTTTATTTCATTTGAGTATTTTCTTTTTTCTTCTGAAACTTGGTTGACTTAAATCAAAAGATCATATCAAATTTAATGAATCAGTCTGATATCAGTGTTCAAACAGACTCGCATTAAACTAAGGACTCAGAATAGTTGAATTCACATTAGAAAGCACAGTTCAGACTACGTTCTAGTTTGATGAGACATTCGAAGCCATTGAATTCTAAATTTGAAGCAGATGAATTCTATATCAGTATATTCTATATTAATTAGATAAGTTGTGACGTTGCTCAGCAAATGTAAACCACTAGCTCAACTTTGCTTTGTGTTTAATAAACACCCACAAGTTCTTCCTCATCTTCATTATTTTAGAACGTGTATTTTGGTCTTTCTTCATCACTATCATGTGTAAATGCATTCACTGTATTATATATATGTATATCTGTATATACAATACAACTAATGCATTACAATATTGCGTTGCTCCATAAAAAATTAATTTATTACGTTACTTAGTTACTTTTTATGGAAAGTAATGCGTTACGTTGTAACACCAGCTATAATAAAACAACCAGAGTCACACAAAATCTGAGGGGGATCATCCACCAACTATATTTTAAAAATGTTTTCCTTTTTAACCCCAGTACAATATAAAACAACAGAAACACAGAAAAATACACCATTGAACCTGATCACATACAGACATGAAACCACACTACCTTATAACACCCTCCTTAAAGGAGTAGAGAATAACAGATGAACATTGTTGTTGAAGATCACAGTGGTTATTGTCCATATTAAGCATCCATTTCCCATTCCAGAACAAGTATCAAGGTATATCCCAAGAAAACGCAGTCCAAACGAATAATCAGGATGAAATAGTCCTTACTCTTTTCAACCTCATGGTTGATGGTTGGCACAGCCCATACATCCACAAAAGAAAACCCTCTGTATACAAACAAAATGAAATAATCAGACCAAACACGAAACATTACATATACACACTTCATCCAACAAAAACCAAAAACATCACTTACATTGAGCTGAAAGAACAATGATGTTCCTCAAAATAGGGCTCATACAATGGCTTGAACAAAGGTGAGCTCCTAGCCCTGCCAAAGCACATGGCTACCCTCTTACGCACTTCCTTATAAAGGGTGAGCTAGAATAGTTACCTTCCCCAACTTCCCCTCGTGCCAGGGAGGGGAACTACAAAAGAAACAGTGGTGACTGTTACACACCCCCCCTCTCAGTAGAAGGTGGAACCGTACCATAAAACCGTTCTAATTTTTCGACATGGTAAGTATCACAGTGATCAGGCTGATCTACCATTGCAACTACATAGTTTACTTTGTTGAGCTGCCTGATGATCTTTGCAGGACCTCTCCACTTTGCAGCTAACTTGGTCATAAATGCATTGTGAGCTTGTACCCACACTAAATCCCCTGGTTGGAAGGCCTCATGTCTCCTTCTTCGGTTGTAGTACGTTTCTTGACGGGTTTGAGCTCGTACAACATTTTCTCTAACTCTTTCCAACAGAGCTTGGGTGCGTTCAATTACATCATAAGCTTCTTTGTCCGGGTCAGGAGGTCGTTGTGCCAGACGTTCCAAAGGACCCTTGAGCTTACGCCCGAGTGCAATCTCAGCTGGAGTGTAGGCGGTGCTTTCTTGCCAAGCAGAGTTAATTGCAAAACGGAACTCGGAAATCCATCTGTCCCAGTGCCTATGATTCTCCTTGACAAATGAAGCAATCATGGTCTTGAGAGTTTTGTTAATTCTTTCAGTGAAGTTAGTCTGTGGGTGGTATGATGTGCTAAGTTTCTGGGTCACTCCCCATTTTTTACATGTGATGTTTATCAGTTGAGATGTAAATTGCGGACCACGATCTGAAACCAATTAGGCAGGTGTCCCCCAGTGAGTAAAGATTTCTCTTATGAGGATCTCAGCGATTAAAGGAGCTTTTGCTGATCTTAATGGGAATAGTTCAACCCACTTACTGCAATAGTCCACAATGACCAACAAATACTCATTCTGTTTAAGACTTTTTGGGAATGGCCCCATCAAGTCAATACCAAGCATGTAACCAGGCTCTACAACTGGAGTGGATTGCAAATGACCTGACAACTTGGTTATTCGAGGCTTGTATTGCTGGCATATTTGGCATTGTTTACAATAACCCCAAGTGTCTTTACGAATCGTTGGCCAATACACCACATTGAGTAATCGGCGCAGAGTCTTCATTCGGCCCAAATGCCCGCTCAAGGGATTATCGTGGGCATATTGCAAAAACTGCTGCCTTAGAGGAGTTGGTACAACTACTTGTAAGGTCTGATACTCATGGGAATTGGGTATGCATCTAAACAGATAGCCATTACATATGGTATAATGAATATGGTTGGGGTCTACAGGTTTAGTTTTAGCAGCATCCCACAGAGATTCAAGTGATGCATCAGCCTTTTGATGCTCTCCGATCTCTTCCCAATTGACAGGTAAGTTGCCTCCCATTTCCTTGGCTTGGTACATTGCCATTTGAGCAGAAGACTGTTCTTCAGCAATACTACGAGACAAAGTGTCAGGTACAATATTGCACTTTCCTTTACGGTGAAGTACAATAAAATCAAAGCCTTGCAGACGGATGGCCCACCTTGTAAGACGAGAGGTTGGTCGGGGATGATTAAACACCCAAGTAAGTGCAGAATTATCAGTGACTACTTCAAAATGTCGACCCTCTAGATATTGTCGCCATTTTTCCACAGCCCACACTACAGCAAGGCATTCCTTTTCAGCTGCAGCATATGATTTTTCAGCACCTTGTAATAGGCGAGATGCATAAGCTATTACATGTTCTCCTTCACTGTTTTTCTGAGTTAAGACGGCTCCCAAGCCTGTGTCGCTTGCGTCTGTTTGCACCGTGAAAGTTTGGTTGAAGTCTGGGGGCATTGACACTGGAGCTTTTTTCAAAGCCTCTTTTAAGTCTTCAAAGGACTGTTGACATTCAGGAGTCCAAGCCCAAGATACATTCTTCTTTTTAAGTTCATGTAGAGGGGCTGCACGCTCTGAGAATCGAGGAATGAATCGATGATACCACCCAGCAAGACCCAAAAATCGTTGCACTTCTTTCACATTCTTGGGGGGTGGAACTTTACTAACAGCATCAACCTTGGTTGTCTCAGTTCTGATTCCTTCCCCAGAAATGACATGTCCCAGAAAGGAAAGTGATCTTTTGAGGAAGCTGCACTTCTCTAAGTTAAGGGTCAAACCTGCAGACTCTAGCTTCACAAAAACCTGTTTAAGGTTTTGGAGATGTTCCTGAAGATCTTTGGAGTAAATCACTATATCATCAATATAGACGAAACAACACTGACCGATTAAGTCTTGTAACACTGTAAACATCAACCTTTGAAAAGTGGCAGCGGCATTGTTTTAGGCCAAACGGTAAACGAAGAAACTCATATTGACCTTTCTTGGTTATAAAAGCTGTCTTCTGGATGCTGCAGTCATCCATACTGACCTGCCAATACCCACTACGAAGATCCAAAGTGCTAAAGACGCTTGCTCCATACATGGATTTGAGAATATCCTGGATCTGAGGCATAGGAAATCCATCTAGGTGGGTTTTAGCATTCAAAGCTCTGTAATCCGCACAGAACCTCATGCTACCGTCCTTTTTTGGTACTAAAACCACAGGAGAAGCCCACGGAGACGTGGATGGTCTTACAATCCCTCTTGCTAACATAGATGCTACTTCATCATCAATGAATTGCTGTTTACTCACTGGCACAGGATATGCCTTCTTTCTTACAGGCATTGGATCGGTAGTAACAATCTGATGTTTAATAACCCCTGTGTGCCCTAGTTCGTCCGTGCACACCGTTGGCCAGTTTATCAGCAGACCTTCAAGTTGTTTCTTTTCGGCTCTGGATGCATCAGCGTGCATTGCCAACTCCTTAATTCCTGTTACTGTGGAGCTAGATGTTTGAGCAAGAGGTAAGGCAAGATAACGGTTAACCAGGTCCAAGGTAGGAAGACAATGAAAAGATCTTGAAACAGTTTCTTCCTCAGGCAAAGAATATGTGTTAGCACCAAAATCTAGCCTTATTCCTGAAGTAACAAGAAATTCAAGCCCCAAAACCATGGGAAATGTCAAGTCTTGGTCTTTCATGACAAACAATGTTAAAGGATAATCATACCCATGCAAAGAGCAGCTCCATGTGACTTTACCCAATGCTGACTGAGCTTGGCCGTTGGCGAGAATAAAAGTTTGCCAGGTTTCGGTTGCTGACTTTAGCTTTCTCCACAAAGATTCTTTTATCAAAGAAAAAGTGCTTCCTGTGTCAAGTATAGCCTTACACTGTTGACTCTTGATTGATACAGATAAGGTTAAAGGTCCAGCTTGTTTTTCACCTCTTTCTGCATGAACAGCAATGGGATGGCCTTGTGTTCGGCCATGTTTTGGTCTATTCATTCCATTACCCCTTGGAGCTTGTTCAGCCTGTCGCTGCCTCCAAAAAGCTCTTTCTTCTGCCATATCACGTTCCACCAGTGTACCTACTTTAACTAGCTCATCCACCGATGTCACAGTTCCCCTTAAGATACTGGCAACCCTTGGATTACAATTCCGCAAAGTGGCTTGTAATATCTCCTTTTCTGTCATAGTGGGTTTCAGTCTCAAACACAAAGCTCTGTACTGAAAGGCAAAGGTTCTAATGCTTTCATCTACCCTTTATTTTCATTCACAAATTCTCCTTTCCGCCTCAACTTCATGATCTTCCGAGAGGAATGACTGCAAAAAAATCCATGATTTTACCTGAGCTTTAACAGCTACCCACCAGTCTTTAGCAGTATGGGTTAAAACTGATGGAAGTGATGCTAATATTTCACTGTCACTCACTGGCCAAACAGCTCAATATTCCTCACATTTCTCCAAATAGTCAATAGGATCTTCCCCTTCCATGCTTCCAAACCTTGGAAATTCAAGTTTGATCGCAGCTTTATTGGGAAAAGAATGAAAGCAGCTACCAGACGTCGGGACAGCCGATGCTGTTGAAGCCAGGTGTGTCACCGGAGTGGATATAGCTACAGGAGTTGGCTGAATCAAAGATTTCAACTTGGCATCTCTTCTTTTCAAACAATTCATTATGGCTTCACCCAGTTGCTTTATGCTGGACTCACATTTCTGTTTCACCAGGTTACTCTCTTTTTTAACAATTCTAGCCAACTTCTCATCAATTTCAGTTCCTTGCCGCTTCTGCATTTGTTTTAGACTTTCTTGTTGTTTATCTAGATCTTGTATTTGACACTGTAAATCACTTAATTGACTACTTATGGGTTGAATGGCTCTCTAGACAATCAATTCTGTGTCTTTAACATATTTTGCAGAATCAGTTTCTAACATATCTAACCTAACCTCTAGACGATGGACCTTTGAGGCTATAGCCAAACTAATAAGACTCTCTTCATCTTCATCTACAGGAGGAGGAGGTGGTGGTGGTGGCAAAAGTTCTAATTCTCCTTCATCACAAATTTCTGCTTCATTATCTGATTCTAGATACAGACTACCCAGTGACTAAGTTCTTGTAATGGCTCACGTCGAGTGACAAAGGGGCCGGCTGTAAAATCTGAATCTATGCTCAGTACGGACCCATCTTCTACTTCATCATTAAATGTGGCCATTTTATATTTTCTGGAGAGGGGGACAACAATCTGTACTCATTAAGATTACATTTGCAAAAAAATAAAATAAAATAACATTCACAAAACATAATTCAAAGGTATCCCCATAACACATAAGTACCCTGTGAATAAAGACAAGGACACTTTTGATAAATGACCACACCGATTTTGCCAAGGTAAAAATGGATTAAGTCAAGGAGGGCCCTGTTCGGGCGCCAATTTATGTAACACCAGCTATAATAAAACAACCAGAGTCACACAAAATCTGAGGGGGATCATCCACCAACTATATTTTAACGTTTTTTTCCTTTTTAACCCCAGTACAATATAAAACAACAGAAACACAGAAAAATACACCATTGAACCTGATCACATACAGACATGAAACCACACTACCTTATAACACCCTCCTTAAAGGAATAGAGAATCACAGATGAACATTGTTGTTGAAGATCACAGTGGTTATTGTCCATATTAAGCATCCATTTCCCATTCCAGAACAAGTATCAAGGTATATCCCAAGAAAACGCAGTCCAAACGAATAATCAGGATGAAATAGTCCTTACTCTTTTCAACCTCATGGTTGATGGTTGGCCCAGCCCATACACCCACAAAAGAAAACCCTCTGTATACAAACAAAATTAAATAATCAGACCAAACACGAAACATTACATATACACACTTCATCCAACAAAAACCAAAAACATCACTTACATTGAGCTGAAAGAACAATGATGTTCCTCAAAATAGGGCTCATACAATGGCTTGAACAAAGGTGAGCTCCTAGCCCTGCCAAAGCACATGGCTACCCTCTTACGCACTTCCTTATAAAGGTTGAGCTAGAATAGTTACCTTCCCCAACTCCCCCTAGTGCCAGGGAGGGGAACTACAAAAGAAACAGTGGTGACTGTTACAACGTTACTTTTGCGTTACTTTTTAAATCTGGACAGGGCTTGCTTTGTTTTTAAAATAAAAAAAGTTATATTTTTGGCAAATATAAAAGCCTTTTCAAACCAAAAGTGACATGAATAAGCCTCAGGCTGAAGGGAAAGTAAATTTACGTCCGTACAGTAGAATGCAGAAGAAGAAATTCAACACACTTCCGCAATAAAAAAAGACACAAATGTTTGTCTAGAGTAATTTTGGCTTATTAGTATGGTTGAACTGGATCAGAAGCAAAGACATTGTTTAATATAATGGGTTTAAATACATAAAGGATATTTGTGTTGTTTAACATTTAATTATTGCAGGTTTTGATATATATATATATATATATATATATATATATATATATATATATATGTATATGTTTATAGTGTGTGTGTAACAGTCGTGTGTCTGTGTGCAGTATGGATGGAGCCGATCTGTGCTTCGAGATCGTGAAGAGGGCTGATGCTGGCTTTGTCTACAGCGAGGCGGTGGCCAGGTGAGAATCACTAACTGTTCACCTCACACACGGTCAGTCAAGATTTTGCTCAATCTGTGTGTTATTTGTGTTCTCAGTCACTACATGCGGCAGATACTTGAAGCTCTGCGCTACTGCCACGATAACAACGTCATACACAGAGACGTCAAGGTAAGACTCGTCTGCATCTCTGATTGATTATTCCTCACTAACCCTAACATGTTCATCTTCAACATCTTTAAAGAGTATTTCGTGCACAAATCATTAACCCGCCCTCATGATGTTCGAACACCATGCGATGTCGCTCTCAAGAACACTTAAAGCTTATGTGACGACTCGGGGTCTTGTTGGGTAGATGGACGATTCTTTTGTGAATGGTGTCATTGCACACACCAGCTTCCATGTCTTGTGTCCTTTAAAAGGAGCTGTTTTCCACTCTTTGGGCTGCATTTGTGTTTGTGTACTTTGTGGTTGTACTTGTCTTTCCTGCACCTACACCATTGCTAAAGCACGTTACACTCCATGCATGCACTTTACTCTACATTACTGCTCTTACTGATGACTACATTAGCACACGTCTGTTTTATTTTCTGTTTTGTTAATAAAGTGTCCATTTCTTTCTTGTATTTTTTGAGCCATGGGCCACAGCAGTTATCAATAAGAGTGTCAAAAGCACAATATGTAAGATTTTTGTAATAAAATATCCAAGAACTACTTGCACAGTGTGATATATTTCATGCAGTTGTATACTTGTGTTATACCAAAAGTTCCCAAGGATGAGGTGATGCATAAATCTCAATTTAAAAAAATTGACACTTAAGACTGGTTTTTGTGCTCCAGGGTCACAAATACTTATGTACAGTTAAACTAAATCCATTACAGCTGTCGTGAATAAAATGAAAATGAAAAGTGTTGACCGCAGCATTACATTTAGGTCTGCTAAATGTTGCGCCATGATTTTTTACAATGCATTTTACCGTGTTTCGCATCACATGAGTCTGTTGAGCTTACGAATGCAATGGACAATCAGAGGCATTCAGATTAGTTTTTTTTTTGCTCGTTGACTGAATTCAGCTCTCACGTGAATTCTCTCATCATAAACAACAAAGTGCAGATGTACGTATGATGTAAGAGATTCATTCATCAGTGTATAGACCGCTTTACTGATTATAAGGGGAGTTTTTTGAGAGTGCTTAAACTCACGTTAGACTGAAGTCAGTCATAATGTTCTTTGCTCGCTTTCTCTGTATAATTTAATTTACAGGTAATAAACAAATTAATTCATTACCTCATCTGTGAACATCCTCCTTTATAGCGACATCAAGCTTCGCCTTTGTTATTGTTTTGAAAATGCGACCTCTAGTGGCGAAAACTTGCATATTGTGCCTTTAACACACTGTAAACACTGTAAATATGGCTTTTTATTCCCCTGTTTATTATACTCTTAAAAAGGACATTTATGCATTTGGCATACACTTTCATTCAAGGTGTGCATGTTATGAGTTCACTGGGAATCAGATCTTTGACTGGTGTTACTCTACAGTCTGAGCTACATGAATTTAAAAACGGTAGAAAAGTCAGTCATGTCAAGATGATCTGCACCAGCTTGTGGCACCAGTTTCTTTTGCACAGCTCTGTTTTTATAAAGGTAACAGTCCTCTGTAACGTGATGAAACGTGTAATAGGAGGTGCAGTAACTCTTTCATGTGTAAGTCAGTGTCAATATACAAAATACACTATATTGACAAACGTATTGGGACACCCCTTCTAATGAACAGGTTTGACTACTTTAATACTGAAGTGCAAATCTTAATGTTTAAGCATATAATGATATTCTAGGGGAACTGTGTGCTTCTAATTTTATAGCAACAGTTTGGACAAACACCAGTGACTTGTACATATGGCTACAGTCATTTTAGACGCTTCCAAAACTGTTGCAACAGAGATGGAAATACCATTTTTAGATACATGAATTATGTTTCCATCTTTGTTGCCAAAGTTGTGAAAGTGCCTTCTTCTGTTCTAAAGAAGGGGGTGTCCCAGTTCTTTTGTCCATATAGTGTATGTACAAGTCATTGGTGTTTGGTGATGAGTATTTTTCTCAAGGTCTGCATTTAAAGTCACACCAGACCAGTCAAGTTCTTCCACACTGACTCAATTATTTCTTTTTGAACCTTGCCTTATACACAGATACACTGTCATGTTAGAATAGAAAAGGGTCCTGTCCAAACTGCTGCTATAAAATTAGAAGCACACAATTCCCTAGAATATCATTATATGCTTAAACATTTGTACTCATGGAAGTTACTAAAGTAATCATTAGAAGGGGGGGTCCCAATACTTTTGTCCATATAGTGTACATGAGCTTGAGTTCAGTGAGAGTTGTGTCTGATAGATTGAAAATCTCAAAGCAGATGTGTGGTGATCTCCTGCGGTTGTGGTGTCCAGCCATATATCACCCTCACAGGCTCGCAGAAGCGATGTCTCAAGAACTTTCCCATGCAGACTTTTCGAGCTAGTCATCATTTCATACCAGTGAGTCGCTTCCCGTAAACTTTCACAGGCCAGTATGTGGGTCAAAGGTGAAACTCTATCATCTCACGATCAGCTCGACAGTGCCGTGATCTGCGGACAGGACTCTCGGTCGTTGGGTTTGGCGCGGAGACTCGGTGTAATGAGTCCCAGGCTGCCTCTGGATGTGTCCAGCACCGGAGCATTGGAAGTGTGGGACACCGAAGTCCTCCGGAACTCCGTGGTCGAGCTGTTGGTCACTGCGGGTTCATGGTGCAAACGCAGGAATTGCGACAAGGCCCGAATGGTGGCTTTGCGCACCGAACCCGAGAGCATGAAGTACATGATGGGATCCAAGCAGCTGTTGAGAGCCGAGAACAGCAGCATGAGCTCGTTGGTGAGATCCATGAGCCGCTGCGTCTCACAGCTAACATCTCGGAGCTGCGAAGCTACATAGAAGCCCCTGAAGGTGTGATACGGCACGAAGCAGATGGTGAAGAGGAGCAGAACCACGAAGGATTTCCTAGCGGTGCGGGCGTAGCGCAAGGCATTGGGCATGTCTGGTTTGTCCCGCGATGCTTGCAGAAGTCTGCGTGCGATCCGTCCGTATGAAACCAGCAGCACCGCAAACACCAGCCAGAACACCGCCACCATGAACAGATTAAAGTAGGCTTTGCCTCTAGCGTGCTTTCTCTGCTTGTACTGGAAACACTTCCCCGGCTCCTCGTTGCCCTCGGCCAGCGCGATCATAGGCACCACCATCACCAGAGAGCCGCTCCACAGCAGAACGCAGGTCACCAGACTCCAGCGGCTGCCCCTGAGCCAGCGCGGCCCGCAGCCCCTCTGAGAGCCCCGCACGCCGATGATCTTCAGATAGCGGTCCAGACTGATCAGACCCATCAGGGTGATGCTGACGTACATGTTCATGTAGAACAGGTTGCCCACCGCCTTGCACATGCGTGGCCCCAGAGACCACACGTTCCCCTGAGCGTGGTACAGCACACGGAAGGGAAGACACGCCAGCAGAACCAGGTCCGCCAGCGCCACATTGATCAGGAAGACGCGCACGGAGTTTCTGCGCGAGTGCAGGAAGAAGAAGACCCACAGAGCCAGCAGGTTTCCTGCCAGACCGAACAGAAAGATGAGCGAGTAGAGCACCGCCAGCGGGAGCCGCAGGTTCTCCTCCTCCAGAGGACACGAGCGGTTGCTGAAGGTGTGGTTGGTGAAGCGGTCAGTCGGCCAGACGGTGCTCATCGTGTTCGGCAGGATGCTTGTGTTTTTATCTCCTTGTTAGCGATCGGGGTGAAGTTCACTGGAGGCTTTCCGCTTGAGTCTTCAGCTCTGGGGGGAGAAACAGCGAGTCAGACATGTTTTAAAGGATAAGTTCACTTCCAGAATATGAAAATTTCCTGATCATTTACTCCTACATGGTCATGTCTTTCTTTTTTCAGTCGCAAAGAAATTAAGTTTTTTGAGGAAAACATTCCAGGATTTTTCTCCATATAGTGGACTTCAATGGTGGCCAGTGAATTGAACGTCTAAAATGCTTCAATGTTTCAATCAAAGAGCTCTACACGACCCCAGCCGAGGAATAAGGGTCTTATCTAGTGAAACCATCAGCCATTTTCTGAAAAACAATTATATTTATACACTTTTTAACCACATAATGCTTGGCTTGGTCTAGCTCTGCGATGCGTGTCTTTATTAGCTGATGTTGGAAAAGTCACGTGTGACGTAGCACAGTGATGAACAACAATAAAACAACTATGTCGGATTATTTTAAAGTTGGAGGAGAAAATGAGATGGAGTTTTTAAACGAAGTACAAAGATGAAGAACTTAACCCACAGACCTGTGTGACCTTTCCAACATCAGTTCATAAAGACGCACATCGCAGAGCTAGAGCAAGCCGAGCATTTGTGGTTAAAAAGTGTATAAATATAATTGTTTTTCAGAAAATGACCGATGGTTTGGCTAGATAAGACCCTTATTCCTCGGCTGGGGTTGAGTAGAGCTCTTTGAAGCTGCATTAAAACAGCATTTTTGGCCACCATTTGAAGTCCACCATATGGACAAAAATCCTGGAATGTTTTCCTCAAAAACTGAATTTCTTTGCAACTGAAGAAAGAAAGACATGAACGTCTTGGATGACACGGGGGTGAGTAAATTATCAGTAAATTTTATTCCGGAAGTGAACTAATCCTTTAAGGCTGGAATACTCTACACGACTTCTAAAATCTGAACAGATTTTTAAAACACTAGGCATCATACATTAACCGAATTTGTAAATAGTGACAGAGGAAAACTGGCCGTCATACACTACGTGATTTTCTTTGGAATCTGTCAACTCAAATCTGCAGACTGGCTTTCGTCAACTTCTCCAGATGGAAAAATCAGGGCAAAAATCGTGTAGTGTATTCCAGGCTTTAATTTACTGTGCTGAACAACGGGAAAATTCAGTCTCAGCCCAATGAAAATGAAACGAGAGAATGCTCTGGCTCCGAATGCCCGGCGTGAGGAGTGTAAATCACGGCCCACAAACACACCTCCAGGAGCCTCGTCTCGATTCAATTCTCTATTCCTTCTTTCCGGATCATTTTATCTTTGTTAAATTATTTAAGGATTGCATCTTTGGTGAATGTGTGTTTTGAGTCTGTGGGAGGTTGATTCTACAGCTGCGCTGCTCTCTGCTTTCTCTTCTCATAACCTTCATAACCTAGAGCCATAATGATATTTCATACATATACCGCGTACTCTGCACACTGCATATATATACTTGTATAAGTATATTTTGCACAGTGAAAATAAAGTTGAATCTAATCCCATCTGATTTACAGCTGGAGATTACATCATTACCAGGACACTTGATTCACTAACCAGCACTTTTTCTGTGCACTTTGTGCTATTTTTGGTGTCATGAGCTAACTTGATTTGTTTTTCTCGTAAAACACTTCTGCTTATATTATTGTTAACCATATGTTGCTCTGAATGAAGCCGTTTGCTAAATGAACAAATGTACAGGAAGAAATTTCTTTCACGTGTTTTGTATGTTTTTGTAATGTATTTGTAATGCAGTGGATTTCATTTGAATAATTATTTGATTTTTGGGCTGTAAATAGTCAAATAATTTTTTTTTTTTTAATTTTATTTAAACATAATTCTGCATGTCTAAAAACTGCTGACCTTTCAGAAATTATTTTATGACATTTCACGCGTACGTTCATGAGGACCTTCATCAATGCATGCTAAAAAAAAATTTTTTATATACATTTAGCATATTTAGAGTTATTTAAACTTTTTTCTTTAAATGTGATCCTCTGCCCAAGTGACCTGCATATTTTCTGACACTAGTATGAAGTCTATTTATTCATGCACACACATTTCTGTTTTCAGATTTTTCTATCATCGTCTGTAGAATGACTCGCACACGCACTTTGATCTCGGACACACACAGATGCATAAATTCTACTCACAGTTTTGCATGTTAATTCCTTCAGTTGCACAAAGCGCTGCAGCTGCACATTTATCCATTTAGACGGAACACAAAGGTTTTGGTCTTTCTGTCAGATCCTCTTTCTTTCCTCCCCGAGCGTCTGATGTGTTTCTGCTTCCCTTCTAAACGCTCAGAAGCGTCTGTCGCTCTCTCGCCTCTCTCTCTCTCTGTCTCAGTGTTTGACTCTTGAGCACACAGAGATGTTGGTGTGTGTTCAATCTGCTGACGGTTGTCTCAGCTCCACACGAGTGGGCTGTAGAATCCACCAAAGAGCAAAAAACGTAATTCTTGAAATTCGTTTGCTATGTGACGAAATAAAAGCATTACATGTCCTCTTCGCATCTCATTCTCACACAATCTCATGTAGTGAGGGTGATATTAGAACACATGTGGCTTTATGTAGGACACACATTCAGTGGTTTCATATGTATGTGTGTGTGTGTGTGTGTGTGT